CTGCGTGTAAAATGAGTGAGATATTATGCAAATAAAAGACGCATACAAAGTTTTTTTTATTTAAATTAAATCAAATAGTTTAGAGTCCAAAATTAAAATAATCGTATTTCATCTAGAATTAACTTGGTTTAAGAAATCTTAATGGATTCTAGAAAATACCACAACTTTAGTACAAACGATTATGAAAAAACTTATGATTTCCTAAAAAAAATCCATTAAAAAAAAAACAACCACCCTCTCATTATAATATCTCTGAAAGAATACGTATAAAAGTATATATATGAAAATTCGAGGTATTTTTCTGACTAATTATTGCTTTTTATTATTTTTTTGCTACACAAATATTGATAGAGTTCTAATTGTTTAAAGAGTGCGGCTGTCGGTACGTTACGGTAAAATTTATGATAGAGAAAGTTGTAGCTCATTTAATTACCTTTAAAATAGTATATTACAAGTTCTGATAAAATCAGAATTAAATGAGTTATAATCCAATTAATGCCGGGGGTGGTGACGGAATGCAAATTGTTTTCACTTCTGAACTTAAGATTGAGATTGGCATATTTCCAAAATATCAAGAAAATTGGAGCACAGTAAAAAAAATTCACAGGGCACACGCTTTTTTCCTCTTTATTTACTGCAATAATTTTGTTGATCGTAGGTTGAATAGAGCACTTGTGAACAGGATTTGCAAATTATTCACTTCGAATATGACTTAAGTATAATGTATATTGATTTATTAGTGAGAAAATGTAATTTTAGAAATTAAAATTACTAAAAGCCAGGGTACGAAATTATAAAAATTATAGGCAACATATTGAAGCAATTATTTTGGGTAGAAAAAATTAAGGTGATATTGCACCTTACCGCGAATGCTATATATTAATTCTTTCTGAATTTGTTATACTGTTTAAAAGACTTCAATTTCCAATACGTATATCTTAAGCTATAAATCACAAAGGCAGACGATGATTTTTTGGGTGATAAATTCGGAAAATCAATGTTTTAGTCGTGAATAAACAAAAAATCATTCATTTATACATCTACATCTACAGGTATGACTAAAAATATTGGATAACACTTGGCATTAAAATAAATTGAGCTATTGGAAATAAATTTGTTCTATAAATTGTAGTGTATATTACTAATGCACTATTTCATTGAACATATTTCAATATTTGTTAAAGGGATAATTAAAGTGTTAACTGTGGGAATTGAGAATCATCATTTTATTTGAAGCAGTTCTACATTTAACATCACTCATATATTGGTGTAAATAGTAACTCGAAAACAATAATGATTAATTTTAACTGAACGGTATAAATATTAGTATAGAATATTAAAAAAACGTAGACGGGGGTACAGGACAACGTCTGTCGGGTCATCTAAATATATATATATATATATATTATATATATATATATATATATATATATATATTATTTTACACATAAATCCTTTATCTTACCTATATACGCCTGCGGTGACATGCTCATGTTGCTCTGCACCGAATGCGGCGGGCTCTGATTCGAATAAGGCGGAGACAATGTTGGCGGAGCTCCTCCGCCGCCTGCTCCACCAGGACCGCCACCTACTAAACCGCCTCCTGGATGCAGCAGTGACACGCCTCCTTGGGGATTGCCGGCTTGGCTCATTAGTAAACCGGATGAGGACAGAAGTAGTTCTGTTGTCGGATATGAATTCTGGTGTTGTTGTTGCTGTTGCTGCTGATGCTGCTGCAGGGCGTAGGCGTACTCCAGACTTGTCAGGTTGGCTGCGTGCAGACTGTGGAGGGACTGTGTTCCCTGGGGAAAAGGAAATAGATAAAGATTTAAATTTGAGAAATGGATGGCGAGTTACATGAACTTCCCGATATGTGTGCATAATCGATTTAATAAATAAAAAATAAATTCATTTATGAGTGTGGACAAAATTGTTTGTCACATTTTTTCTTATGTAATGTCAAATGTAATGTATATATATATATATATATAATATATATATATATATATATATATATATATTTGTAGTTCGAATGTCCTGCCATTACTATTAGTGAAGTTGGCAACAGTGTTCTCCTACCCTAAAACTATGTATCCGCCATCTTATATTTATGTTTATGTTGAACCTATGTAAAATAATTCTCTTCTTGCTGAATCGCGAACCAAGTAACATTTAAAATAAAATGAGTAATTTAAAGAAAGCATTTTTATTAGAGCAGAGTGATTATAAGTCACGGTATGGTATTAGTACTACGGTAAAAGTCATGGTATTAGTCAAATATTTTACGGCACCTTGGGTATTTGATAGGATTGAAATTTGATTTAAATGAAAAAAAAACTAGTTGGTATTGGTATTTTGTCTTGAGGCAAGTTACATGAACTTCCCGATTTGTATAAATAATCGACTTAATCAATAAAATATAAATTCATTTATGAGTGATTAAAAGTATTCCGAGTGGATTTATTACACATAATTGAAAACGAACGAACACGTTAACTCGGAGTGTTTTCTAAAAGCAAATTTTCACAAATCAATACATTTTTTATAATTGAACCAGTTTCCGTAAGACTTTAATGGTTTAGTACTTTAGTATGTTCATTAAGACCAAGTACTCTATCGTTATACCAAGTAAATCATCTAATTTTAATTTTAACAAAAGTCAAAAGAACTACTCATTTTCTCAAACTTTGATGAATTTTTAAAATTAAACTACTTGTCGTAAGGCCGTAATATTTCAGTAAGTTCTATAAGATAATCATTCTATATAAACATGACATCATTTGATTGGCTTCTAAGAAAGCCACAAAGTTTTAGAAAAATCATCAAAGAAAACTATGAAATTTTATACAAATTACGTGCAAAGTGATAACTATTGACAATTTATACTGAACTTGTTAATCTGATATCAAACAGTACTGATAATCATTCTATATAGACATGACATCATTTGGTTAGCCTCTAAGAAGGCCACAAAGTTTCAGAAAAATCATCAAAGAAAACATTTTAATTACATCTATAATAATAAATATTGATATTCATAGTTTTTTAAGCATTGAATAAAATAATATTGTATAAAATGGCATTTCATTTTTATGCTTTAATATTTAAAACTAAATGGCATTTCATTTTTATGCTTTAGTATTTAAAAATATAACGCCAAAAAAAGTTCCATGAAAATCGGCTTAAATTTTTTTTTCAACGGTTAATTACAAGAAAACGGCTCGGTGGATTTTTACCTAATCAGTATCATTCCCAACTAATATCTTTCGAACAGTTTTTGATTTTTTAAAATCGATTCGGTAGTATGATCTTAAATGTGGACGAAGAGTTTAAAACTTTTTTCCAAATTACAAAGAAACGGCCCGGCAGATCGTCGCACAAAACTGACAAACAATAGTCCCCATTAAGATACATCAAATGGCGTTGAAATTTCTGAAATCGGTTAAGGCGTTTTTGAGAAAACGTCGATTTACGGCAAAAAATCTGTTCACACACACACACACATACTTTTCCCTTAAATTAGGTCTCATTCAATTCAGAGTGGCTTGAAACGTCGAGAAAACATAAAATTAGTGAAACGGATTTTTTGATGAAAACAAACTTCTCCTTCGGGAAGTTAAAAAAAAAATTGTACATGAAATTTACATAGAAATTATGAGTAGAGCTTAAAACTGACAATGAGATAAATTTGAATACAAATGTTTGTACAGTTTTATATTTAAATAAATATTTAGATATTTTTAACACTAATTTAGATTTTGATTATCTTGTTTCGGCTATAAATCATTAATAAGTAGTTACAATAATAAAGCCTTTCATATATACTTTATTATCCATTTCTTAAAACTATCTTTAGCGAGTCCTTAACAACACTAATTGCACTCGGCTATAAAAAGGAAAGATTATGCAAAAAAAACATTATACCCGAGTTAAAACAGTTCTATTCTACAAAAATAATTGATTGAAGAAGTTATCGATGTCCATAGTTTTCTGATAAAAAAGAAAAGATTTTAATAGAACTTGAAAAGAAACATCAAATGGCTTTTAAATTTCTGAAATCGGTTCAGGCGTTTTTGAGCAAACGTCGATGAAAGTTTTAATTTTGACAAAAGCCAAAAAAATGATACTAATTTATGTAAACTTTGACAAATTTTTAAAATTAAACGAGTTGTTGTAGGGCCGTAATCTTTTAGTATGATCTATAAGACTATGGTATCTACCGTCAAAAAAAAATCATAGAGATCGTCGAAAATTTTTTTTTAACACTTTATTACAAGAAAACAACCCAGCCGATCTTCACCAAAAACTAATCAGCACGATTCCAAACCAATATCTTTCAAACGGTTTTTGAATTTTCAAAATCGATTCAGAATTGCGGGCTAAAACGTGGACGAAAATTTTTCACTTTTCTGCTATTTACAAAGAAACGGCTTAGCCAATCGTCGCACAAAACTGACAAGCAATAGTCCTCATCGAGATACATGGAATGGCTTTTAAATTTTTGAAATCGGTCCAGCCGTCGATTTAAGGTAAAAAATCTGTTCACACACACATACTTTTTCCAAATATTGGTCTCATTCGATTCAGAATGTCTTGAAACGTCCAGGAGAAAACATAAAATTAGCGAATCGGATTTTTTGATGAAAACATAAACTTCTCCTTCGGAAAATGCAGAATATACAAATAATTATGAAGAGACTATTATTTTTACCTTAATGCAGTCTTCATAGCTCGGTGGTTGTTTGCCATTAATCAAATCCAACCTGTGTCCCATATTGCTGTACACACCTCCGTTACCAGATATCTGTCCTAAATCATAAGGACTTCCTATATCCTGATGAGGACTCAACGTCAAGCCATCCACTAAAGACATTGTGTTGCCCGATGTGGCATTCCCTGATCCATTGTTAGTAAGCGAGTCCAGCCCAGTGTTGCCGTTGCTCGCATTGTTCGAGTTCGGTGTTTTCCTTTGTTGGTTTGATTTTTTAGTACTAGGTTTGCGACGGAGAGAATTATTACCTAAAATAAATATTTACCAGTTAAATACTTTGCAACAAAAGCATTTTATATATACTAGCTGACCCGGCAAACGTTGTTTTGCTAAGTAAGGTATATTCTAAACAATTTCTAAAGGATCAAAAATATTAATATTTTTAGTGTATAAGGATGTGTTGTTTGAATGATATATGAAAAATGAGGTATTATAAAAGCAATAAAGCCATTAGTTTGTCTATATTTTGTCAATACAAACAAACTGGAAGTTTTATACACTTTCTGTAGAAAACATGGTATAATCCAATCCAAGTCTTTAATAAAAATTTAATAAAAAGTATATATGTAGAGCAAGGCGAGGCACAAACGTCCTATTTGACTTTGAGCAAATATTAATTATATCATAAAAACCAAACCAATTATATCACAACAAATGACACATTTCAAACGAACAATTATCTGACTACATTCAGTAAAACTGCCAGCTACTTCATCATTGTAGAAATGTGCTATTTTGATGTCTTTCAAAAATTTGTTATCTGGACGTTTTTACCCCATAGACGGGGTAACTTGAAACGGCCAGGTGCTAAACAGGTTTATTGTCTTATTTTACAAATTAAATAATTACATTTTTATACATCTTTTCCCTCTACTTTCAAATATTGTTGTTAAACAATGCTTAACTTTACTGGTTTTTGACACATCGGTGATGGAGCTTTTTAACCCCGGACCTTCATATATTACTATCTATTCTTCGATAAATTCTGGGAAATTATAACTGAAAAAATGTTATTCAACAAAATGTCCCTTTGATCGATACCAATTCTGAAGTTCTGAATTTAAATAACATAAATAAAAAATAATATAACCTAGAAAATGTTTTATAAATACCAATGAGTATATAATTATACAAATGAGATCTTTCAGAGCACCGTGTTTGAGAAAAATATGATTTGCAAAAAAAAGTGTGCTACAACGCCAAAAAGTGCATTTTCATATTAACATTTCAAAAAAGTTGATATTTTGAGTTTCTAGTAACACTTGCGATTCGTTTACTAAAGTTTCTGCGTTTAAATAAAACTACAAACAAAACTACTTACTACAATGTAATCATAATTAAATAATATTCACGTAAAACATCCTATTAAACGTAATTAAACATCATCTGCCAAAAACGTTTGACATTTGACGTATTAGCCACCGTCCATTGTTTTATTCAAATTACCCTTCTACAAAAAAATTCAAATTAAAAATGTAAAGTTTCTACGCGATTTTGAAATAATATCTCACCATTCCGACAACCTACTGATTATTACGAATTTTTCAAGACTAAGACTGGCCAAACCGGTTTAGCCGTTTTCGAGTTTTAGTGGTTTATTTTATCGAGAGCTCCATTTTTATATATAAGAAAATAAAGTTTAAATTCTTACCGTCTTGTAAGTTTGTTCCTGTACCATCTACAGGACTGTGTGGATTTTGTCCAGGATTCGTATTATTATTGTTGTTTATATTATTTTTACCGCTCGCCCTCTTTTTGGACCTTGATTTGTTGCTGCCTTGTACACCTGTAGCACCGATTACTGTCGGATGTGTGATCATTTGGTGGTGGTTCGGAGAACCAGCAAAATGAGCTAAAATTGAAAAAGATGGACCAAAATTAATAAAAAAGCGAATCTAAGGAAAAGAATTGAAGATTGCCTAGTTATAAATAATAAAATATGATATTTGCAAGTGATATTGAGCTAACTTTCAAGATTTTTTGAAAATTAAATTGTACCACAAATATATATATACAGTAGAATCCGATTAGTATGACGCCGGATATATTGACAACCGCTTAATATGACGTAATCGCACTAGAAATTTGGTTTCCATATAAAATTCCTTAAAAAAACAGCTGTCTAGTCGGATATATTGACATCGCTTACATTGACATGTCGCTTATAATGACCCATTTTTGGAAAAAAATATGTCCAATTATAATGACCGACATGATTTTACATGATGTGGCCAAGTCTACGAAAGCAATTGCTATGTCTTTTGTGCACAGTAGCACCAGGGACTGTTTTTACAATAGAATTATGTAAAGAAATCAATAAAAAATTACTGATTACTTACATTGAAAAACACATTTGTATGTTCATGGGTAGGGTAGACTAATTATTAATGGCCCACCACGAATATCTCATAAACAAATAAAATTAGATTTTTTTTAACAATTATATTTGATAGTAGAGGGCGAAAAATGTATAAATTCATAACCAGCCATCACTTTTATTCTTATGACTTTGCTATCAGAAGATGAGCAGCACATGACTGCAATAAAAAGGACCAGCTGAACCTTTATTTTGGCGAAGTTGTAAGCAATAAAATAGTAAAGTTTAAAAAAAAGCAATTTTACAAGAGATTAATCGAATAAATTGTTATTCCGGCTCTTCTGATGAATATTTCTGACCAATAGCAGATCAATGTAATATACTGTGTTGTCTTTGTAACAAATGTACCCACAGAATTAATATTTTGCATTGGTTCAATAATGTAGCGTAAAATGCCTTTAAAATTTAATAGAAGAAATTCCATCTGTTCGCCCCCTGGTTGTTCCACTTTACCCCGTATGTGAGGTAAATGGGTCAGATAACAAATGTTTAAAAAATAATAAAAAATATAATATTTATATAATTAGGAATTATGTACGTATGTATGTAAGTTTTTCTGAACATAGTTCGATAGATGCTTCTTTTATGTATGTTATGTGTTGTTCATTGGGTTTAGACAGTATAATTACTGTAAGTCAAATTGGACCGTTGTGCCCCGCCCTACCCTATGTCAATTTTATTTTATATTAAATTTTAATGTGTCATTTTTATTTTTAATTGAAACGTTTGTATAGGCTTTTCTTTTAAATTACTGAAACATGTGTCATATTTGCATATTAAAAAGTTTTTCTTCAGTACGCTTTTAATGACGACCGGTTAGTATGACGAGATTTCGGCGTCCCTTCGATGTCATACTAAGCGGATTCTAGTGTATATATATATATATATATATATATATACATATATATATATCAATTATTCCTTACCAATTAGTGTATGACCCTGTGCTCCCGCAACGGTCATACCGGCGCCACCTCTACCGCCCTGCACTCCTGCAGGAGCATGATGTTCGTCCAGGAGCCGAACGATATCATGGTGCATACGTTCACCAGCCACATCCCTGGGTAATCTGTCCATGTGATCTGTTATTTCACGATTTGCATATGCATCTAAGAGCGCCCTGCAGGCTTCGTAGGCGCCTTCTCGGGCTCCCAGGAATAGAGGAGTCTCATCCTAAAGAAAAAATAAATTCATTCAAAATAAATATTAAACTAGTGGTGTATGGCATCGTGCTTTAAGGCAAATTGCTGGAACTTCCCGTACCGTAATGAAATATGCGAGAAATTTTAAACGTTTTCAAATATATTATTACAAATACTGTAACTTTCATTATTTTTGCATATCTTGTTATATCTGAGCAAATCAAATGTAAATTATAAATCAATTTATCTCCAGAACATATAAAAACATATAAAAAATCATTCCAGAAAAATTATCCTTCAAGACTGTCTTAAGTAGTGATTTATAGTTTATTAAATGTTTAATTTTATTAGTTTTTATTAAATGTTTAATTTTATTAGTTTTTATTTAATGTTTTATATTTGTAGTTTATATATATTAAGTGTTTTTTATGTTTATATACAAATCTATATATGAATTCTCAATACCCAAATTTTCTCATATTATCTTTAGTTTATAATTTGTACACTTCAGAATGTAATTATATTGTATTATTGCCTTGGGCGTTAAATAAATAAATAAATAAAATAAAACATTAACAATCGTCATTTCATTTCGAAATCAATTTAAAAAAAATAGTTAACGAAAATTAAAAAGTGCTCCCGTATAGTCACAGTCTAAACGCGTTTGCAAATAATTCTGTGCAACATTTTTACTTATACTGTGCTTAGCTTGGCGGCATTTTCACATTTTTCAATAGTTTTCACAAAATTCGAAAAGTCCAGTACATGAAAAGTCTAAACGCACTTTGGTAAACATTTGTACCAGAGTGGCGCTTAGACTGTGCTTAGCCTGGGTGATTTTTTGAATTTTTAATCCAAAATTACAAAAATATTTTATGAAAAATAAAAAAAGATATAATAATTATTTATCCTCAAAAGCAATTGTTTTGTCAATACAAGCAGAAAGTTTTTTAGATCATTCAAATCGGACGCTTAGTTCACTCAAAAACTGTCATTTTTTGCACATTTAGCTCTGTATCTTCGAAATTGCGGGACATGCCTTTGCTAAAAACTAATAACCCCTTCTCGCAATTCCAATCATTACAAATCGAATGTTTTTTAGATCATTAAAATCGGATGATCCGTTCTCTCAAAAATTCGATTTGTATTTTGTGCACTCTTTGCTCCGTATCTCCGTAACAGCTGGACCTGCCTTTGCAAAAAACTAATCAGCACATCTCCGTATCAATAGGGATCGAATGTTTTTTGAACCATTCAAATCGGTTACAACCCATCGGTTATCGGTTACAAACACACACTTTTTCTGAGGTAAGCCAGTAAAATGTTCAGAAACCTTCCAAACGTCGAAAAATGCAAAAAAATTTCATTTTCGATTTTCGGCCCATTACTATAATACTTATAACGATACTAATAATATTATTGGATCATTTAAAAAAAAACTCAATTGATTTATTTATGATAAAAATTATTTATGGTTTTTTTTATTACCTTATCGTCTTGTGCATCCCTGTTAGCACCGTGCACCAGAAGTATATTGACAGCATCGACATTGTTAACAGCCGAAGCCCAATGTAAAGCTGTTTTTCCACAATTATCAGCAGCGTTTATATCTGCATCTGCATTTATTAAATCTTCAACCATACCTTCAATAGCCAATCTAGAAAATAAATTAAAATTATCATTCATGATTGCGCATTGGAAACGTTTGTCAGTTCTTACATTCAAATTAAAGATTACTAATATTTATGTATATTGGTTAAATAAAATCATCATTTACCTTGCTGCAAGTATCAATGGTGTAGTACCATCATGCATTCTGGCATTCAAGTTAGTAGCACGATTCCTCAACAAAATCTGGAATACACCCATGGCATCAGAAGCCACTGCTGCATGTAAAGGCGTTCTGCCTGTGTTATCGGCTACATTGGCATCAGCTCCTGCATCCAGCAATCGCTTGGCTGCATCTGCTCTTGCATACCTATAAAATTGAAACTCATATTAGTAATTCTATAAATAATTTAGATTGCTAATATGGTGTAATGTTTTATTTATTACCTTGCTGCCAAATGCAAGGACGTCTCTCCAGTCTTATCCATAGCAGCGTCTAATTCAGCACCCTGAGCTACCAACTCGGCAATAACAGCTGCTGTGACATCATCGGCTGGTGTACCTCCTTCACCTTGTCCAGATTCCTCACCACCACTGTCCAGGCCAGCACCTCCTCCTCGGACAGCTGCTAACATAAGTGGTGTCATGCCCATTGGGCCACGAGCGTTGGGGTCTAATGGACCGTCTTGCTGTTGAGGAAAAACATACATGTAAATATAAATATCAAGATAAATATAAATATAAAGTGTCCGCCATATAACTTTTTTTTATTGGTAGCAATTTAGAATTTTTGACAGCAATTAAAAAATTAGACAGCCATTTCAATGAAATTATTTTCGATTATTAACCAGAAGGATTGCACTTTCAAATAGAAAAGATTTAGATTGAGAAAATATTCAGTAGTTTATATATAGCATTTTCAAAAAAAAAAGTTATCTGACGGACCCTATAAATATAAATATAAATATAAATATAAATATAAATATAAATATAGATGTAGATGTAGATATAGATATAGATATAGATATAGATATAGATATAAATATAGATATAAATATAAATATAAACTAGTGGGATAGGTGGCAATGTGGCATCGTGCCTTAAGGCAAATTGCTGGAACTTCCCGTACCGTAACAAAATGTTCGAGAAATATTGAATGTTTTCAAATAGATTATTATAAATATTGTAACATTGTCTACTATTTATAAGAATTATATAAACTGAATTGCAGAGTTGAAGTTATTTGTTTAAAATATATTAGAACTATAGTCAGAATTAAAAATAAAATCTGAATTATTTTCGATATACAAAAAATTAAAAAAAAAAATTAAAAAAAAATGAAACAAAAATTTTTTTTTCCAAAATCAATTATTTTGTTAAGACAAGCAGAAAGTTTTTTGAATCAATTGAATCGGGCGCTTAGTTCTCTCAAAAACTGCCATTTTTTGTACATTTAGCTCTGTATCTCCGAAATGGCTAGGCCTGCCTTTGCGAAAAACTAATAACCCCTTCTCCCAATAATTACTAATTGAATGTTCTTTAGACAATTCAAATCGGATGCTCCGTTCTCTCAAAAACTCGATTTCTATTTTCTGCACTCTGCTCCTTATCTCCGTAACTGCTGGACCTGCCTTTGCCAAAAACTAATACTAAATACTAAACTAAACTAACATCTCCTTATCAATAGGAATCGAATGTTTTTTAAACCATTCAAATCGGTTGATCCGTACGCCCAAAAACGTGGGCGAACATTTGTATCCATACATACATACACACACACACACACACACATATCCATTTTTTCTGAGGTATGCCAAAACGTTCAGAAACCTTCAAAACGTCGAGAAATGTAGAAATTTTCAATTCCGATTTTCGGCCCATTACAATAACTTACCCTACGGGAAGTTAATATAAATATAAATCTTTCTAAAGATAATTTGCCATTATCTTTAAAATAGTATATTACAAGTTCTGATAAAGTCAGAATTAAAAGAGTAATCCAATTAATGCCGGGAGTGGTGAAGGGGTGCAAATTGTTTTCACTTCTGAACTTGAGATTAAGATTAGCCTATTTCCAAAATATCATGCAAATTGGAGCACAGTAAAAAAAATTCACAGGGAACACGCTTTTACTTCTCCATTTACTGCAATAATTTTGTTGATCGTAGGATGAATAGAGCACATGAGAACAGGATTTGACAAATTAATTCACTTCAAATTTAAACTTAAGTAATGATGTATATTGAATTATTAGTGAAAAAAATGTAATTTATATATTAAAATTACTAAAAGCCAGTTAAAATATGGTACAAAATTATAAAAATTATAGGCAATATTATTGAAGCAATTATTTTGGGTAGAAAAATCCCAGGTGATATTGTACCTTTACCTCGAATGCTATATATGAATTCTTTCTGAATTTGTTATACCTTTTAAAAGACGTCAATTTTCAACACGTGTATCTATGCTATGACAATAAATACATCACAAAGGCAGACGATGATTTTTTGTGTGAAAAATTTGGAAAATCAATGTTTTAGTCGTGAATAAACAAAAAATCATTCATTTATACATACACATCTACAGGTATAACTAAAAATATTAGATAAACCTTGGCATTAAAATAAATTGAGCTATTGGAAATAAATTTGTTATATAAATGGCAGTGTATAATTTTTGATATACAATTTTATTGGACATATTTTAATATTTGTTAAAGGGATAATTAAAGTGTTAACTGTGGAAATTGAGAATCATCATTTTATTTGAAGCAGTTCTACATTTAACATCTCTGATATATTGGCGTAAATAGTAATTCAAAAAACAATAATTATTAGGTTGTCAAATATCTCCCTTCCGCTTTTTTGCTCTTGGTTTATAATACAAAAAGGCGGAAGGGAGATATTTGACAACCTTATATTATTTTTTGGTAAACGGTGAAAATTAGTATATTATATTAAAAAATTGTAGATATAGGTACAGGACAACGTCTGTCGGGGCATCTAGTATATAAATATAAATATAAATATATGTATAAAAACATATTTATGCTTAAAATGATGTTAGTATGTAATTTTGTTTCTACTTACATGTGATGGTGGTGTCATCATGCTAGGCGGCACTCTAATATCAGCAGCTTCCAAATGCTGTTGCGTCCAGACTCCACCAGCACTTGAATTAGTACCAGTGCCACTGCTAGCTTCCTCGTACTCCGTAACAGCTGTATGATCACTTCCATAACCACCATTGTGACGATTCGAACAATGCCTCTTAGCTCTCGGTTGTCCTGAAGAATCATCATGCAAATCCTCCTCATCATCCGACCACTGTTGACGCATGATACCCTCTATGCCCAGCACTAGTTGTTTAGGTGGTTTATTCAAATTGCGCATCTCTTGTCCATCTGGTCCACGTCTTCTGGAACGTCTTCTTCCTGCACCAGAGTCGCTTCTTAAGAAGCCTTCTGGGAACCAGGTGATGCCGGCTGCTCGTTTTCTTTGGGCTGTGACGAGGACGCCGAATAATAGACCAGCAAGTAAGACGAGGACGACGCCTATGAAGACGTATTTTAAGTTGGCAGGTGAGTCGGTGGATGTGGGACCAGGAGTGTCTCTGGGGACTGCTTCACCTCCAACTTGGTAGATGGGGAAAGACGAAGAGAGGGTGCGCTTGGCTGCTTTGGCTGCCAGAAATTCTGCGGCCTAGAGAAAATGACAATTGAAATATTAGAGAATAATCTCTTTTTGGATCAAATAAAAGGAATATTATTTCTTGACATTTTCCAAAACCAAAACAATCATTTTCAATAACGATTTATAAATAAACTCATTTGTTACTTAGAATTTATCATAATTAATTTTATTTTCACTAAACTTATTCATACTTTTCTTTTAATATATAAATCTATTAAAGACTTAAGGGGCACAACTAGTGTAACCGCCTGAAAAAAGGTGATTTTTTGGGAATCTATATTAAAAAAATACTTTATCAATCATTTCAAAATTTTAAGAATATATTTACACATGTTTTAAGAATACATAGTAAAATTTTTGAAGAAAAAAATTAAATATTTTTTAAGTTATCGTCGATCTCCAACGGCGCGAAAAAAATGCCCTTCACTGCTGCAGTGATTCCGGCCTTCTACGTGGATGAAATAAAAAATAAAAAATCTCGTTAAACTAGATAATATTGTCTGTAAAATGACCTACGATAAAAAAAAATCAAAAATTGACAAAATGGCGGCGATTTTTTAAAAAAAAGTCAAATTTTACCCAAAAATTTGGTCGTTCTTGGACTGCCAAAATTCGATTTTTGATCCGATCAAAAAATCGATAGTTCATTTTACGGAGAACTATATATAGAACATGTAAAAAAATTCGGATAGTGATCGGATCATTTGTTTTTGAGTAATCGCTGCAGCAAATTCGGAAAATGCTGTTTCGAGAAAAACGCGTTTGAAGATAAAATAATCGTTATACTATATACTATACATATACTCTTTTGAATGGATGTAACTCAAAAGCTATTTGAGATATCAATTTGAAATTTTGGTATGTTATTTTTAAAGGTATAAACCTATCGAAATGTGGAAAAATTAAAAATACGATTTTTTCGAAATTTCACACTAGTTGTGCCCCTTAACTTGTTTTTACCATGAAAGTTGCACAGTGAGATCAATATAAATCAATTATTTCTTTTCTTCTTACCTGCTTAGCTGACAAGAAGCACTCAGCATTCTCATCACTGGAACACTTAGTATTATCGACTTCCAAATACACAATAACACCACTCCTGCCATGTGTCTCCTTAAAAGCTACATGATGCTTCCTACCAAATGCAGTATCTTGCACACTCGAATCCTGTGCTGCTCCTCGCCAAGGATAAATCATGTCAGCTCCGTTTTTATCTTTCTTAACCTGGATAATAGAAATATAAATATAAATAACTAGCAAATCCAGCGAACTTCGTTTCGCCACCAAATATAAATATAAACTAGCTGTACGTGGAATTCTGTCTTAAGGCAATTAAGGCATCATGCCTTAAGGCAAATTGCTGGAACTTCCCGTACCAAAAATTATTATTTTTTAAAAAACGATTAACATTTTTGAAAAAATTTTACTTCGAAAAAATTAGATTTTTGAGAAACAAAAAAAAATTGTTTGCAAAAAAAGTTTTCTTTATTTTGGCATAGTTTTGGAAATTCTGAACTTTTTTTCAAAGCAATCGTACTGCTTTTACTACATAGAGACGAAATGTCAAAGCGCGTAAGCGCCGCGTCGCCGTCTAACGGATAGGAATATAAACAAAATTCATACTTATTGTTAAAATCTCTATAAAATATCTGATAATTTGATGTGCATATGTCTAATGGTCATTTTTGACCGCCAAATGGCTTTTTGTTTTACTTTTTCCATTAGATCTCCGAAACCGCTAGACCTGCCTTCATGAAGATTTGATCAATACAAGTAAAAAAGTAAAATGTTTTTTGAATTTTTAAAATCGAACGCTCCGTTCTCTTAAAATCCGTCTTACCGTTTTTGGCACTTTTTGCTCCGTATCTTCGGAACGGCTAGACCTGCCTCCATCAAAAACTAATCGGCACGTCTCCTTATCAGTACGAATCGAATGTTTTTTAAATTATTTAAATCGGTTGATCGGTGTTCTCGAAATCGTCAACAAAAATTTGTATCCGCACACACACACACACACGCACACACACATACATCCATTTTTTCTAAGGTATGCCAAAATATTCAGAAACCTTTGAAACGTCGAGAAATGCAAAAATTTTCATTTTCGATTTTTTTTGCAATTACTATAACTTACGGAAAGTTAATAACTAGCAAATCCAGCGAAATCCCTTTCGCCACCAGATGGTTTCGTAGGAAAGATGAAAAATTTACATAGAAAATGATTAGCTGTCAAACGATGTATCTACCAGCACCATCTATTTAAAATATTGGTTTGTTAAGTATCAGAGATGACGCTGTATGTGAAAATAGATATTTCCACTTTTCTGTTGAAATCTTCCTTCAATTTTCTTTGCTATAAACCTCACGGAGCCCGAGACCTTTCCAACGAATGTAAAATTGTCGAAATCGGTTCGTGCGTTCTTGTGTTATATAGTCCGGAAGAAAAACCCGACTTATTTTTATATAATACAGTAGAACTCCAATTATCCGAACTCCGACTATCCGAACTCCGTCTATCCGAACTCCGACTATCCAAATCGCCGATTATCCGAATCACTTTCAGAAAAAAAATTGTCCAAAAAAAGTCTAAATGCGCTATTATTATTCCACTAGCAAAGCCAGTGTAGGCACATTGTTTGTTTTGATTCGACGGAGATGTTTACAAAACAATGATTTTTATTTCTAAACTTGTACATAAGTACATTTTATTTATATTTAAAACATGTGAAAATGTCATGTTTCTTTCATTTAATTCAATAAAAAAATAGTGCAATATCAAAACGTAACTTTTTTCCTCTCCAATGGCAGTTTTAAAAACAAACCCCAATTATCCGAATGGGTCCCGGTCCCCATTAATTCGGATAATTGGAGTTCTACTGTAGATGATTTATGACCTTAAGAAATAATGGAATTAATTTTGCTTTTCCTTTACCTTAACGTTGGCTCTCAATTCATTCCCGACGTCTCTCAAGAAAACCATCAGATTAGCTCTGAAATCTCGTTCCGTCATCAACACGACCATCGATACCACACCATCAGCAGTCAAATCCATGTCGCCGCCTCCGGAGCCTCCGCCAGAACCTCCGCCAGAACCACCATTATTAGAACCACTACAGTCTAATCCATCCCAATTGCACTCGGCAGTGTTACAAGCTTCGTCGCAACGACCATCAGCATAATGGACTCTAAAAATAAAAAGATAGTATAAATAATTATCTTCCTGTATATAAAAATGAATCGCAAAATGTGTTGGTAAGCGCATAACTCAACAACGTCTGGACCAATTTAGCTAATTCTTTTTTTTAAATGTTCGTCGAAATCCAAGGATGGTTCTTACCGGGAAAACCCTAAAAACCGCTCTTTTCTTTCTATCATACAAATGTCTTCTAACTAAAACGTAGAATCAATTTGAGCTTTATTGCTATTATATAAAAATCATAGTAAATTACAAGCACTCACTGTATACTCCTTCAAAACGATTATTCGGATTTTGATAAATCTTTCTGAAGTTTGTTAAAGAAAATTTCTAGGATGTATTTGATTCTAAAGTACTGGGATGTATTAGCAATATTATAGAAATAAATAGAAAAAATTGCAAAAAACGACATGTAATTGTTTGCATTGAAAATAAATGAAAACTATCATCTGCCAAAAATTTCAATTTACTTATGAACCTAGACAATATTAGAATATGTATAATAAATTTATGATTATAAATAAGAAAAATGAAATGTTTACATTATTATTGCCAAAAAGCAGCTGAGATAAAAACAAATTATTCAAAATATAAAATACAGTTTATGTATGGCAGATTGAATGATACACATATGAACAGGATTTGACAAATTAATTAACTTAAAATATGAAATTAAGTATTAATCAGGACCGGTACTACCCTTTAATGCGATGCATGCGAAACACACGAGCGCACGCTTTAGGGGGCGCCAACACAAGATTCGGATATTAAATTTTCAATATAGTTGTTTTTTCAATATATAATTTCTTTGCATCTTTTACTAATCTTTACCCAATATTTTTAAAATTCGTAAAAATTTCACTTAATAACAATAAATGGGAAAGTGAAGATGAATACAGACAACTCGGCCCTCACGATATCGATTAGGAGAAGTTTAAGATGCAATTTTGGATATCTTAAATAATAAAAAATTAAATTAATTTAATCCAACATGAAAGGTGTTATGTTATGGTTATGGTTATGTTATACCGTTTAAAAGACTTCAATTTCCAATATAGTGTGGGAATTGAGACTCATCATTTTATTTAAAGCAGTTCTACATTTAACATCGCTCATATTATAAATGTATATGCATTTTGGTGTGAAGAGTAATTTAAAAAACAATAATTATTATTTTTTAAGCAAACAGTAAATACACCTAAGTCTGTTTTTACACGGTAGATTGGTTCCAGAAGAAGCCGTGTAAAAAAAAACGTGTAAAAAAAGACATTGATCTTATACAAAAATGGGCGATTTGTTCCTAATCTCTAAAACCTATTAAAATTAGTGAAAAACAAGAATTTTTAAGAACAAGAATTTATGTTTATTTAATTAAATCAAATATTCACAAGCAATTTTTTCACAAGCATAGTAATTAATGATAAAAAAGATATGCACACTAATCTTAAAAGTAATAAAGGGCGCTAAAGGAGAATTCACTTAAATCCGACCAGTAAATTTTATTGTATGCACATAAAGGGAATTCCCCTAAATTAGTGCTATTCACATTTGCTTTGACCAGTAAAAATTGTTTGTACGCGCTAAAGGGGAATTCACTTAAATCTTTAAGCCAATGTTCGCAAACTATCGATACTATCAATGGTTTCAGACTTTTTTCTTTCATAAATACTTTTTTGTGATATGAAAATACTTCGCAAAAATTAAATTTGACAAAAAAATTCAAGTACATAAAATTTCAAATCGTGCTAAATGGAATAAATCGTGTAAAAAAATTAAAAATATTAAATTTTCAAACCGTGTTATATCAAAACCGTGTACAAAAAGACCGCGTAAAAACAGACTTAGGTGTATTAGTATATTACATTATATAAAAAAATTGTAGGCATGGATACAGGGCAACATCTGTCGGGTCATCTAGTTACAAATAAATTTAAATTTATATCACTATGATAGTAGTTTTTATTACCTGCAGTACGACTCAGCTTGGCATCTCTGCAAACTCCGTTGACAATCTCGGCCATCAAACAAGCAATCAGCAGTCACATTGTGTATCACATCTTCCATCACCGAAGACTCTTGAGCATTGTTCTGCAAGTGGACATCTGCGCCAAGGATCAGCAACTGCCCTGGAGCAATCACCTCCATCGAAATTGCAAGCGTATGTGTTGCATTCCATGTCACATCTAGAAATGTAATAAAATTAATTGAAAAATTTCCATTGTATGAAATGACTTAGAATTACAGTAGAATCCGCATAGTATGACATCGAAGGGACGCCGAAATCTCGTCATACTAACCGGTCGTCATTAAAGCGTACTGAAGAAAAACTTTTTAATATGCAAATATGTTACATGTTTCAGTAATTCAAAAGAAAGCCTATACAAACGTTTTAATTAAAATAAAAATGTCACATTAAAATTTAATATAAAATAAAATTGACATAGGGTAGGGCAGGGGCACAACGGTCCAATTTGACTTACGGTAATTATACTGTCTAAACCCAATGAACAACACATAACATACATCAAAGAAGCATCTATCGAACTATGTTCAGAAACACTTACATACATACGTACATAATTCCTAATTATATAAATATTATACTTTTTACTATTTTTTAAACATTTGGTATCTGACCCATTTTACTTCACATACGGGGTAAAGTGGAACAATCAGGGGGCGAACAGATGCAATTTTTTTTATTGAATTTTAAAGGCATTTTATGCTACATTATTGAACCAACGCAAAATATTAATTCTGTGGGTACATTTGTTACAAAGACAACACAGTATATTACATTGATCTGCTATTTGTCAGAAATATTCATCAGAAGAGCCGGAATAACAATTTATTGAATTAATCTCTTGTAAAATTGCTTTTTTTTAAACTTTACTATTTTATTGCTTACACCTTTGCCAAAGTAAAGTTCAGCTGGTCCTTTTTATCGCAGTCATGTGCTGCTATCTTCTGATAGCAAAGTCTTAAGAATAAAGGTGATGGCTAGTTATGAATTTATACATTTTTTGCCCTCTACTATCAAATATTTTTTTTAAAAAAAATCTAAATTTATTTGTTTACGAGATATCCGTGGTGGACCATTAATAATTAGTCTACCCTACCCATAAACATATTGTGTTTTTTTTAATGTAAGTAATCAGTAATTTTTGATTGTTTTCTTTGCATAATTTTATTGTAAAAACAGTCCCTGGTGCTACTGTGCACAAAAGACATACCAATTGCTTTCGTAGACTTGGCCACATCATGTAAAATCATGACGGTCATTATAATTGGACATATTTTTTTCCAAAATGGGTCATTATAAGCGACATGTCAATGTAAGCGATGTCAATAATCCGATAGACAGCTGTTTTTTTAAGGAATTTTATATGAAAACCAAATTTCTAGTGCGATTACGTCATAATAAGCGGTTGTCAATATATCCGGCGTCATACTAATCGGATTCTACTGTATATAGTTTATTTACCTGAAGTTTTCTTGTTTTTTCTTTGCAGCCTTCGGCTGCACATCTCTTCAAATCAGGTCTTGGCACACTAACGCCCAAATCGTCTTTCTTGTCTTTCAAAACTGGTCGGACGCTCTTTCCGCTCTGGTCACTTCTACCATCAGGACTGTATACATCACAAGTTTTTCCAGTCCAGTGTCTTGGGCAATAACAAGCAAAATCTCCAATTTTATCTTGACACACAGCATCAGGTGTCTACAAGTTTTGATTCGCATTCATCGAGACTGTCAAGTTCACAATTGACACCTGCGGTGCCTCTTGCACATTCACACCTGTAGCCCCCGCCTCCATCGGCAATCACACAGACACCACCGTTGTGACAAGGGTTGGAATCGCAATCGTATCCAGAGAATTCACAGTTTTTGCCATAGTACCATCAGGGCATAAGCAATGATGTCCTTCGCGTCTGGCTGAACATATTCCGCCGTTCTGACAAGGCGAGGTTGCACAAAAATCAACTTTGACTTCGCAATGGCGACCCATGTATCCGGTTTTGCAGTTGCAATGATAGTCGTTTA